TTAGGTGCAAGACCTCCTGTACGGTTTTTGCTTGTATTACAATATTTGATTATCGTTAATGTTATTTATATTTACCACAATACTGTCAATGCACCAAGAAGGACAGATACAGGTGGAGCCCCTCAAAGATGTTTTCTTAAGTTTTTCGTTGCGCTGCAAAATGATGATAGTAGAGAAAACTGCAGATTCAACAAAGTAGTAACCACAGGGAAAGTGTAATCTCAAGGAGAGTTGCATCTTCATCACCGGTGTAGAAACCCTGGCTGCTAGTGCTCAACACAAAAGTAAAACAGTGGTTGCGTCTTCAAATGTGTTCATCTCTAGTTAAATTATATTGTATTTTATTTTGCACGCATTTGCAGAAACTCCTGCGAGAGTTGGCACTGTAGCACCTGTAGTTATCGCTGTTAAGCACTTTCTGGAGCGGCAGCAGCAGCAGCAGAAAACGTTTCAGATAAAACCAACAAGAGGTTAAATAAAAGTGCATTCTTATGAATAGAAGAATACTAATGCATTCTAGTCAGTAGGAGAGTGTTATGACAATTAAGGTGATAATGCAATCTTGTGTAACCCGGAGGAACACAAAATATATGAAATAGGCGTATATGCCTTTGAAGACGAATTATATAGATTTTATCATTAAGGGGGAAATAGAATGCGCTTTTGTGCTTCTTTCCTATCTATCTACCTATGGCTCCATTGACGTCTGTTTCTCACGAGGGCCCCAAATCAGCCAAAACTTTGTGAGACGGCATTAAATGTTATTTGTATTATTATTAATACTTACTACACGTTATTTCAGCCGGTTTACGATGGGGGTGGCGGAAGTTTCCTCCAGTCGCTTCCGTGCAGCAACTGTGTGGTGACATCGTTCGGTTTTTTGCCTCGCAACTGCCGTTCAAACTGCAACAAAAGGGAATAATATTTTAAAATTCATTTGTTAAGATTATTTGTATTTATATTTCAAAATATTTCGCTCAAATGCTTTTCCTGTAGCGATGTCAGTCGGTGTTTTTGTGGGCGGACCACCCCAGCGGTCCGCATCGAGCGCGTCATGGAAACCTGTTTTTTTCTCCTGAATCGTGCCTTTCTATTGAGTGTAACTGCATTTGTATGTTTCGTCTGGTTAAATATGGAAATTAAATGGAAAAGAAGATGAAATTTCGCTGCATTTCGTAGCCTGTTGCGCTCAGAAAGACCCACGGGCACCCCATGGGCTTTGCTTCGCCTGGCCAGGGGTCATCTACGCTCCCTATCGCTCGCTGCCTATCTCAACTGCGACCCGCCTCCTCTTTCTATCAGCTTGCTTGCTTCCCCTTGGCTTTATTTGGTTGCTTAGACTGTGCAGAAAGTAATTCTTTTCCTTTTTTTTTTGTGTGCGGCTTGACATTCTGTGGTGTGTTTTTCTGTTTACACTTGAGTGGCCGCATTGCAGGGAGAACAAATACCACCCTCTTACAATAATGANTGTGTTTTTCTGTTTACACTTGAGTGGCCGCATTGCAGGGAGAACAAATACCACCCTCTTACAATAATGATTCGTTACACAGCCTGTTCTCTTGCCGCCGTGGCTCTTGCAGCGGGGCAGTCCTTCTCCCTGCCTATACCCATTGACCGCCCTCTACATCGCCTCGGAGAGATGAACACCTATCAGGCAGCCGGGGCCGCCCCCAGCCCCGCTGCTGAGAGCAGCTCCTCCAGCACGTCTACTGCAGCCCCTGACTCCGCTCAGCAGTGGCTTGAGAATTTCAATGAGGCGGTGCAGAAGCAGCTGCAGCTTCAGGAGAGTCTGATGAAGCAGCTGATGACTGACATTCAGGAGTACCTGAGCAACACCTTCGGCTGGGGCGATGGCACCAATACCACTGCCTTGGAGCGCGTGAACTCCATGCTAGAAATGATCAGCAGCAGAATGGCTGTCACTCGTGAGGCAGCAACGGAGATGGTCTCAGAAACCGAGGTTGTTGAGGAGCAGAAGGCTCGTGAGGCCACTCGCAAGTTCATGAAGGAAGTGCGGGTGCAAGACATTGTTGTCGACGCTCTCTGGGCCTCTCTACGGGGTGTACAGACATCTGCATGGATGAGTGGTCTTACAGGAAGTGTTGAAGAACGCGATGTCTTCAACGCTGCAAACAGAGCTGCTGAGGAGTTCCTCGTTCGCATGTACCACAACCTCCGTGCTGCAGGAGTAGATGAAGAGGACATCGTCAAGTATGTGCCCAAGACAAACCCAGAAGAAGAAAACAACAGCAGCAGCCCTACAAGAAACATGGGCCACAAGAGAGGATACTACGGCTACGGCTACGGCTACAGATACAGCTACCCTCAGTACAGCTACTACTACCCTCGCGCTTACCCCGTATACCCCCAGCCAGTGCCTGTACAGCCCATAATGTACCCTACCTACACCTTGGGATACCCGATGCANCCGTATACCCCCAGCCAGTGCCTGTACAGCCCATAATGTACCCTACCTACACCTTGGGATACCCGATGCAAACCTCCTACCGCTTGAGCGGATCTCCCTGCTTTAGCGGCAGCAGCAGCTGCTCCACCTGCAGCAGATGCCCCGTAGTAGAAGAAGATCCTATCTTCTATGAAGGTGAAACAATCCACCGATCCCTTGGAGAGGAGGATGGACCCTTCATGATGGGGAGGAACCCCTACGGAAACCCTTATGGAACCCCCTACCCCCCCATGATGGGCAGCCCCTACGGCAGCACCCCCATGAACGCTCAGGGGTTCAACAACAGCGGCAGCAACTACCCCAGCTACAACTACTATTCTCGCCCTCGTTACAGCCCCACAGGAGCAGCAACCCCTTACTATAATCAACAGGGTAGCAGCAACGCCCCCATGACCCGCATGGGCAGCCTCGGCTCTCCCTATGGATACACCGTCTCCCCTAACAGCGGCTATCAGCCAGGAGCAAACGTCTTTCGTAACCTCGGTGTATTCGATGAACCTGAGATGATGGAAGAACCCTGGATGCCCTTCTTTCCTCCTGAAAGGTTTGAATCGTGAGTTCATCTGCTGCTGCTGCTGCTGCTGTTGCTGCTGATGCTGTTGCTGTAAACCCTGGATACACTTCTTTCCTCTTGAAATCTTTGAACCGTGAGTTCATCTGCTGCTGCTGTTACTGCTGTTGTTGCTGTTGATGCTCATGCTGTTACTGCTACTGTTCATGTTCCTATGGCTACTGTTGCTGCTAGTGAAGTGGCGTTGTTGCTCCTACTGTTGTTGGTGGTGCTGTTCTTGTTGCTGCTGCTGCCGCAGCTGCTGCAGTTGTTGCTGCTGGTACTGGTGCAACTGCTGTTGGTGCTGCAGCTCGTACGGCGGTGCATGCAGCAGAGGCTTTATTAGGGATTCTAGGGATTTAGAGTTTAGGGTTTTACTTTGGTTGTTTGCGTTGCGGCTGTGCAGAATGTTCTTCTAAACCATCCTAAATCCTAAACCCCAAGGCATCAACCCACTGCTTAGCATCTCTGGAGAGAAGCTTCTTGCTTGCTGTCTGTACAGCAGGCCAGCATGGGTTAAAACGATACATAATACATATTATATATACTATATATATAATGTGCATATATAGATATATGCATATTAACCCAGCTCCCGTCTTTTATCTCTTTTAGGGCTAATTATTTATAGTCGTTGTATGTATATGTTGTTGCATTATAGTTGTATTTATCCTACATTCTCTTCTGTATTTACAACCGGCATTAATTAAAATTTTAAATTCATAAGTAACGCAAAATACAAACGTCGAAATATATAAATGAGCACAACTAAAAGTATATTAATAGACATATATGCATATAGATACGTATACAGAGATACATGCGTTTATATAATCTAATATATAATGCCTATATATATACACATGTTTTTACATGTGTACATTACATATCTATGTATCTATATATATAGATTGGATAGATAGATATATAGATTGATAGGTATGGATCTATATATGCTTAGGGTTACGCAACCCCCTGACATCTGCAGCTGGCGCCCAGTAACAGCCGATACGATATACTTAGGTTTATTAAAGAATGCGTTTAGTAAATTGGGTTTATTAACTGAAACTTATTATTTAATTCAATAAATAAGGATAAGTGAACAACAAGAGCATGTTAAACACGAATATTTACTTTCTTCTGTTGAATGAAACCTTTTGTTTATCATCATGAACGTACCATATACTTCTCTTTCTATAAACTAAACAGTTTGATTTGCATTGGTGTATCAACGGAAACGCTCTGTTTACTTGTTTATTAGCTAAAATATTTCAGGCTCCGATTAATTATATAATTAGTTCAGCTTCAGTACATCAATATATTTCGTCGCTTTGGCAGCAGACNAGGCTCCGATTAATTATATAATTAGTTCAGCTTCAGTACATCAATATATTTCGTCGCTTTGGCAGCAGACAACCCCGCTGTATAGACAAACAAAACCCAAAAAAGCAACACAAGATAAACCTTAACCCCTCAACTGCACTATTTAAAAAAGTGAGGGCGTTCTCTGTCTATTGTATTTCGTTTTTGCTGTTCGCCTGGTTATTATATGATCTAATACGATCCGTTTTCCTTATTCATGCCGCGAGCGTTTCAAATGACGACGCTCGGTGTTCAGTGTGTATTTCGTGTGATTTTTGTGTTTTATTTGTCTATCTAGTAAACCCGAAGAGGAAGAAAGAAGCTGTGTAGAGTGTAGATAAACAGAAACAGAGATAGTCGTTTATCGTTTACTCTCATTTGCTCTTCTGCGGATGCTCTCTTCTCTCTGTATTGGTTTTCCATATGCGCTCTAGACTATCAAACATCACAGGAGAAACGAACGCTGCAGATACAATAACAATAAATAAGCTAATTGACAAAACGAGACGTACGTACGTACGTACACCCCATGTACAGAAGCGGCAATCCACTGCTGTAACTGCTGTAACTGCAGCCATAGAACTGAAATTTCTAGAGTTATAGTAACACAACGGAGTTCAGACATGCNAACTGCTGTAACTGCAGCCATAGAACTGAAATTTCTAGAGTTATAGTAACACAACGGAGTTCAGACATGCAATAAATAAGCGGTATTCAATGCATTTCATTCCTCTCTATCTCTGTGTGCCAGCCTGGCCCATTGCGGTGCACCCAGGATTGAAACCAGTACAGTGAATGAAATGAAGGGTTTGTCAGATCTACAGATATGTCGGCAAATATCGAAATTTAGGTGTACTTACCGCTAGACAGAATCCAGGGTTCAGACACACGCACGTTATGCTGATTTAGATACTTCTTTCATCTTCATGCCCGTTGCCACTGAATACCAAACTAAAGCAGAATAAGCAAAAATGAACAGGAAATATTTCTGCAGCCGAACTGTGTCCAAGTTCATCGCCATGCATTTATATTTATACATATAGAAGTGTAGAACGTGCGGAAATGCGAATAACATGTGAATTATATTGGTGAATACGTTCCTACATACATGTAGAAGTACATGCGTCTATAGCATATAACTGAACGACCAGCCCGCACAACTCGTTTAGTTACTCTGGCTAAGCGTAAACTAGTTATCGCTGTGTTGAAGTTTTCAACGAAAAAGCAGTAGACATCTAGAATCCCAAATAACGCATTGAGAGGTTTCTTATGAAACTCTTGAACGTCCGTGTCTTTGCTCATCACACTAACAAGTATGGTTTAAAACAATTTATCTTTTCTCCTGGTTTCATTTTATTTATGCAGCGCTTAAGGCGCTGGAAGCTTAATAAACCTTGTTCTAAGACACGAACCGATTGATTCTTTTGTTCCTCGTCAAAGGGTGGGGTTTCGAGGTAATTTTGACTATTTTACTTGCATTACGTTTGGGTTTAATCGTTTACATATCTTATTTACTGTCTGGAGTGTTGCACGGAAAGAAATCACACCAAAGAACGAACCGATTCACGCCTGCGAGCACACGGCTGAAGCTGGGTGTACGCCGGAGTTATGCAGATCCGAGGCTGAAATTTCCTTTTGTATATTCATAAATAGTTTTGATTCACATTGAAATACGTTTTATAACAATATTTCTGCGTGCTTCCGTTTGTTTAATGACAGAAGGCAGGAGCCAGTAAATTCCGCTACCCCTGCATCGGGCAGCACCGGGCGCGGGCTATCCGCGNTGACAGAAGGCAGGAGCCAGTAAATTCCGCTACCCCTGCATCGGGCAGCACCGGGCGCGGGCTATCCGCGTTGCCCTCCCTTTCAATTTTCTCCCCCTTTCTTCTGGAAATATTTCAAAATTGTATGTTACAAAATAGAAAAAGGCAAATTAAGTTAAATTTCACCAGATACAAAGCTGAATTGCACACGAACCGGCGCGGAGCAGAAGATGAGACGAGACGGCGGGCGGAGTGCCGACGCCGTTCGAGCGAGCGAAGGAACGATGTCCGTCTATCTATATTGGCTTTCTTCCCCCTCATGATTATGTCAGTGGGGTTTGAGTTGGTGCTTTGGGCCACGTTCTCTCGTCCGCAGAACAACGGCATTACATCTACCAGTTCCTGTACTCATCTCTTTTTCTTCATATACACCCTTCCTTGTTCATTGTTTTTGCTTCTCTGCCGCTGATCCAATGACCCGCCTCGGCCTCTGCACCCTCGCTTTGGCGCTCGCCGTGGGCCCCGCTGTGGCGGTGCCTAGCAGCACTCCTGTAGAGACCGCTGTGCACCACCAGTACCCCGAGATGGGTACTTACCAGGAGAATGAGGCCCCTGGTGCCCCCGGGTCCCCTGATGACACCACCACCACCACCACTCCTTCTCCCACCTCTGAGGGAGTCGAGCAGTGGCTGGAGAGCTTCATCAGAGCTGTCCAGCGCCAGCTCCAGCTCCAGGATGCCATGATGCGTCAGCTGATCCGTGACATCCAGGAGTACTTGAGCTCTGCTTTCAACTGGTCTGATAGCCAGACCTCCTCCTACACCCGTGTCACCGAGATGATGGACATGATCACCAACAGAATGAGCACTGCCATCGACAGCTCTAACGAACTCATGACCCACGCTGAATCTGCAGATCCTGAGACTGTCCGCCGCGCTATGCGCAAGTACATGAAGGAAGTGCGTGTTCAGGATGTTGTTGTCGATGCCTTGTGGGCCTCTCTCCGTGGTGTCCAGACCTCTGCCTGGATGAACGGTGTGACTGCAATTGAAAAGGAGGAAGCCACCCCTATGGCCAGCCGCGCAGCAGAAGAGTTCATTCACCGCATGTACCACAACCTGAGAGCAGCAGGAATGACCGAGGAGGATGTAGCTAAATTCATCCCCAAGTCTGAATACTCCTCTCAGACCCGCAACATGGGCAGAAAGAGCAGAGGCTATGGATACTATGGATACTCCGGCTACTACGGCTACCCCTACAGCTACGGCTACAGCTACCCCTACAGCTACGGCTACAGATACAGCAGCTAC